TTGCGGACAGACATAGAGATGGGCCGACAGGTGACGGGTGCGGCCAATCCGACGGTACTGTATGTGAGCGGAGGTAACACTCAAGTGATTGCTTACAGTCATCGGCGGTACCGTATATTTGGCGAAACGCTGGACATCGCTGTCGGCAACTGTTTGGACCGATTCGCCCGAGTCTTGAAAGTATTGTTACAACAGTTTATACGCCTATTATCACTAATTTAACCATTTTTTATCCCCGATGTTAGTTATCTAACGATCCGAGTCCTGGCTATAACATCGAGCAAATGGCCAAAAAGTGAGTCATGTTTTGTCATTGTTTGAGACCAACACTCACTGACCAGATGTCTGTCTCACCCGATATAGGGGTCAGAAGTATTGTGCGCTTCCGTATGTCATCAAAGGCATGGATATGTCGTTTTCGGGTCTCCTGTCGTTCATAGAAGTAATCAATTGTTTTTAATTTTATTTTTCAATTTATTTAATCATTTTATTATTAATTCAATTAAATTGTGAGAAAAACAATACTAAAAATGAGCGACAATTTAATTAACAAATCAATTAATTACTTAAATAACAATAGTATTAGAAAAATGAATGTAAAAACTGTTTAATTGATGCCATTATTATCACCCATTCCTACCACTCCTCCAGAAAAGGGCCGAACAGTGGATCCAAAGCGGGGAATACACGGCCGAAGACCTGTGCTATTCATTACAGGAGACGGTGTTCTCGATGCTGATCGAGACCACAGAGCGGGCTATGGCTCACACGGGCTCTGAGGAGGTGCTGGTCGTGGGCGGTGTCGGCTGTAATGTACGGCTGCAAGAGATGATGGGAGTGATGGCCAGCGAGCGCTCGGCGCGTGTGTTCGCCACCGATGACCGCTATTGTGTGGACAACGGGGCGATGATTGCCCACACGGGAGCCATTATGTACGAGTCGGGCCAACGCACGCCATGGCCTGAGACCTATTGCACGCAACGCTTTCGTACCGACGAAGTGGAGGTCACGTGGCGTTGATGGCAGTGGCGCTGATGGCAGTGCCGGCGGTGTCTGTTGTGGTTATTGTCGTGTTTTCTATTAAATTGTCTTTTATTTTAATTACAAATTCTTTGACTCTTTTGTTGATTTACTGTTGAATTCAATGATTATATGTTAAATGCGATTAAGAAGTGAGTGAATGAATGGTAACGATTTGGGCGATGACAGCCATCAGTTGATTCGCAGATTCAATTCATGTCGGGATTGATGTCCCGTTTTGTCTGCAGCTCTTTGAGTGCGCTGCTGAGGAATGCCAGATGTCCTTTGGGACACTTGTTGGCGTAGTGACCCTTTTCGCCGCACTTGAAACACGTCACCTGATCCAGAGGTCGGTACACACGCTCTTTGCCGTCCCCATTGTCCGCCAGACCACCACCTCTTTGGTCGCCACTCTTGCCGTGATGTCCGGCGAAGTGGTTGTAGTGATTATCGATGCCGTGAACGTTGTTCTGGTGATGATTGGGCGCCATCGCCACCGACGACATCTGCACCATCGGTACGTTCTGATTGAGCTGATTGTGATGCCCGACACCCGGCTGTCCGCCGCCACCGCCGGCCGCGTGCTGTTCCTGCAGTTGATTCAGTTTGTGTTGAATCGCTTCTTCGCGCTGTTCAGCGGTCATCGACGGGCACTGATATATCTTATGCCCGGTTTCGTTGCAATAGTGACACACAACGGAGCCCTTCTTCACCTGCAGCTGATCCGCACTAATGGGCAAATCAAACCTCATGTGAACGAACTTACAGTCGGGTCCGTCGGGACAGAAGCCGCAGATGTAGTTCAAACAGGCGACGCGTCGGGTGTGTCGGTGGCGGCAGTTGGGGCCGTGTCTGCAGAAGCCGCGGTCATACCACGGGCAGTCCCGCACCTTACTCTCCGGGTCGATGTGGAGGAATGGACACTCTTTGTTGCTGCAGGCGTGGAAGCGGCTGTAGAAGTAGCACTCGGGCATTTTGCTCATGTCGTACTCGTGCAGGAACTCGCAGAGGTCGCCCTTTTTGCACAGCCCTCGCAGCCAATGCTTGCACACCACTGTCCGGTCGGGTTTGATGTGCCGGTACGGACACATCGCCGCCCGCGCGCACGACCCGCGCAAGTGGAACAAACACGTGGCCGCACCCGACTTGTCCATACCCGGGAACGGCAGCGGTAGGGCTCCGATCTGTTCCTCCAGATCGCGCTCGATGTCGAACGTGAGTCCGTCCACTGCGGCCACTATCTCCTCCATGGTATGGGTGGGTGTGTTGTGTGTGAAGTGCCGGTGTGTTTGTTGTTGTTGTTGTCAACTGATACGCGCCGGTGATGTGGACCCCAGTGGTCACGATATAGGGCTCACCACAGTTGCGGTCACTGAAGTGCGGTCTGAATGGTTGTCCACCGATTGATTGTCAGCTGATTTGCGGTCCGATATGTCGTGCGTTTCGGTCACACAATTGACTGCAATTGAAGGCAACAAACAATAACACAAACCAAACGCTTATTAAAGAGTCGCGCAGTAATGACGTCGAGTATAAAACGCTGCGCGCAGTGAGTGTGCCGTACAGACTGTACGGTACAGTGAGTGTTGAAAAGTGAGTTCACTATTGCATAAGACGTTACGATTGATGACCACTATCTCGGTGTCCATCGGTTCCACTCATCACTTTGTCTGCCAATTGTTCAACACTTTTATCCATTCAATCAATACTTTTCTAAAACATGTCTTTCGATACAAAGTCCGAAATAAGGGCTCAATTTATTTAAAAAATACTCAAATAATTGTAATTATTTTAAATAATTTATTTAATTATTATAAAGAGTGTAAAATCTATATATTTATTGAATTTAATAAACAATTAAAACATTGAAAACACATTTTAAAGTATTGTGTAATTAAAAACAAAATCAATGGCCAGAAAGAGAGAGAGA